AGTAATCGAACTTGTTACTATCTATACATACATATAATACATATTCCGTTTATGAAATTTTTATTTTTTTGTGTTCTTGTATGCAATAAATATTTGTTTTGTAAAATTGCGTTTTTTCTCTTAAACTATAAAAATCTAAAATCGATGTTCTTGAAGATATTTATCATAATAACCTGTGAAGATATTCTAAAATGATCTGAAGAAATAATTACCTTAATCACATTTAATTAATTACACTAATCTCTGAGATGAGCAAAGTAAATTTGGAAAAATCTCAGAAAATATGACATAATTTTAAATATCCTAAGGTAATTTTGGATAATATGAGATAGTGTTCAATAATCTTGAATAATTTGAGGTAGTATTAGATAATCTTAAGTAATTCGAGATAATTTAAAGGTAATCCGTATAAAGAGTAATTTTGTATACTATAACCGCTAATGACTAACCCCTCTTGGTCCAAACGTTTACTATTCTTAATTTGTTAATTATTCATGTACATATATATCTAATCCTTTTAATAAATCAACTTTACACGCCAATATTCGCGTGGGCTCATCTTGGTTTATTAATTATTTTATTATTTTTTTATTACCACTTCAAAAATTCTATTAACAATTACTGTAAATAAAAAATATGAGCAATCAGTCTTTGCAAAAAATTTTAATTAAGCAGTTCTAATTTTTTAAAAATCATGTTGAAGTTGAAACGTCTCTCATTACATAAATGTCTCTCCATAATTATTTGATTCCATATTCTAAGGCTTAAATAATTTTGATTGGTAACTATATCCTGTTTCTACCATTTACATCCTTCTGGCGAACTTTCCATCGAGCTTTCAATTAATAACTTTAGATAAAAATTATTTTTCTGCATTTCTGCTTATAAATAAGAGTATTTTCGATGCTCCAAATCGGACAAGGAATAATTCCTATACATTTCAGTGAAAAAGACATGTAATCTTCATAAGACTTGTTTAATCATTACTTAAATAAAATTTCACGGCGTTCTTTTTCGCGTTTGGAACGGATCCAACTGTCTTCTTGCATCTGACGGATGAATTTTATATAACTCATTTAAGAGATTGAAGGAGCAGTAGATTTATGTGTGTATGGTATGCATCGTCAAGTAGGTCAGATTCCATTGTTAATTCACACTTCCTGCGGCCGACAGTGCAAGAAGCAACAAGCTGTCCACATGCTTATCGTCGAAGAAACGTGTGAATGACGTTAATGTTGAGCGTCGCGAACGATTCCTTTCAATTCATTCTTGAGATTATTTTACATTCTCGATAGCCCGAAAGGATTATGAATCCTTTCGTGTAATACGGAAAATCCAATCTACGATTTAATTACCATGAGTTATGTGGTGGAAAATTAAAATCGTGGGATTACGAGAACTGTATATTTAATTTAAATTTGCAAAAAAATCCAGAGTTAATAAATTTCCGTACAAAATCAAAGGGAAACAAAAGCTTTGTGTCGCTCATCGCTAACAAAATACAATCGGCGATTATTAATAGTGAAAAGTAATTTAATTGCCGCTCTATATATTATTATTATCTGCGCCTGAAAAAATGATATTATTTGATGTAAAAAATTAACAAAATATTTAAAAGCTTTATATATCAACTGTATATAAATAAAAGTCTTGAATTTAATTTAATATAACGTACTACGTAAAATTCAATTTTATAAAATTCAACGCGCGTAATGTTCACAGATGAACAGATTTATTTTTTTTCCTCTTTTTTCCAATATAGAGAAAAAGGAAGAAAGATAAATCATACAAGAAATTTAGCTAAAAAGAACAGATCTTTGAAAAGGCTAGACTTTTCTGTCGAACATATCACGTGACTCATAATCGCTCGATATATGTATAGTATAAGATATGTCGATGAATCGACGATTGTGAAACCGGGCAGAGTCACAAAATGACAGCTGTGCATATATCACGGATTAATTAATCCGAACTATTCAGGATGCACCAGCCAAAGCTATTGAATAAAACATCGACAATTGATATTCGATATCGCAAAAACGAAATCGGTTACCGATATTCCACTTATCTATTCGTATATTCATACTTATTGTCGTTTCGGAGTGACGTGACTAACAATAAGTAATCTATAATTATACTTTTTCATAGAGAGCAATGTTATCATGACAGAAGGTCAAAGATACATCCAAGTATCTTCGAACGTTTTTGAATAGCGATTAAAGTAAATTATTCGATTTTTATTTTATTATTAGTTTTTTAAAGAGAATTTGAATAATTCATAATTAAAAAATTCAAACTTAAAAAAGACTAAAATTAATAAAGTAATACGAGAAATCGAATTAATAAAAATTGAAAAAACTAATGGAATTTTAAACTCTGCTCAAAATAATCTTATTAAATGATAAAATTAAACGAAATTTAAAAAATTTAAAATTTTTGCATCTTTTTTATGCTTACATTTTTAAAATTATAAACCATGTATTTTTTTATCATTAAAAAACATAAAATAAATAAATTAATCAATGATTAGGCACATAAAACGAGATTAAATCTCAAATTTTTATAATAATTAGGTATTCGAAATTTAAATAAAAAATGAATTATTTAAAAACTGACGAAACTTTCTTTTTTTTATAAAATTTAATTCTAAACATTATTCAGAACTTTGAAATAAAAACTTATTACAAGGTCTTTTTTCATATTGATCTTTGTTTTACAATAAAAAAAACAATCAATATTATTTCGTTTTCAACGTACTTTATCGTGTTCTAATCTATGATCGTTAAAACGAGATCGAATCTGACGATTAGAATATGGCACAAGCGGTTGTTGAATAAGATCGATTCAAATCTATAAACTTACCTTTTTATGTGTAAAGAGTAATTAGATTTGTTTAAAAAAAAATTTTTGCTAACGCAAGAATATTGTAAGCACTATGTCTTTTATTATATCCTAGCAACAGCAATTGTGCGCATTATATACACAATATCCAAGATAATCGCGTCTTCGCTTCACTCGCCTCGTGCACGAGACGCTCTCGGTGCGTCGACGCCTTGCGCAAGTTGTCGTCGCGACGCTCACGAGGTCCGCAACGAGCACCTTGTCTGACAGTGAAAGTTCTTCACCTGGATGAGGTCCAATCGTGATGCGATTCCAGCAACAAGTGCTTACGCACGAGCAATCGCAATCGCTCTATTTAAACGGAGCAGATCATATCTCTCTTTGCACGGCGAAGTCACTGATAATTTCGCGAGCGATTTCGTTATCCCTACCTATTTTCGTGAGCCCGCAATATGTCAGGCACGAGCGGTGTCGCCGATGCGCCGCTGATTGAAGCATCCGCTGATCCACCGCGACGCTGGACACCGACCACGTCCGGACGACTGTCTTGCGACGGGTCGCCGGCGCGGGGAAGCGCGCACTGACCGAGTATCTGAGAGCGCGTCTGGCCCTGTCCCTCGGTATCGTCGTCATCGGAGGTGGTGGAGGCGGTGACGGCGGCGATACCGCAACGGACGATGCGGTACGCGTGCGTTCACTTCTCAATATTCGTAGTAAAAGCTCGCGCGCGCGCGATAAGCTCGTACGGTACAGCTTTTAAGCGCGGAGCTTTTAAACTCGACAAGTCTTTTGGCGGCCATCAAGCTCAAACCTGGGAAGTCAACAATTCAGAGTATTACACATAATTTTATTCCAGTTGTTCGCCAAATATTAAACGAATATAAAGTAATACCTGTTCTCGAGTATTTCCGAATGAAATTTCTGAACACAGCTTTGCAAAGAAAGAATCTTCGAAAGATAAGCCTTCTAGTTTAAAGATACTATTTTACGTGGATTTCTATCTGATATTGAGCTTTCAAATTATATTCGTTCCAGCACTCGTTCCTACTTTCGAGCTTTTCATCCGTCCAAATTTTCTAGATCTTAAAATTATGTATCTTTTTCCAGCGAAAGCTTATACTTTACTGGAACAAGAAACACCGTATTGCTTGTCGGTTACCCACGCGCTTTCGTCATCGATAAAAACGCATAAATGTATACGCATATACAAACATACGCGTTGCCTTCGATGTGACGTGTAATTTCAATGTGTATATGGTCACTTCTATTGACCTGCGTATCTCCACAATAATTCTATAATTCTATAAATGTATACGAGTAAATGATCATTTAACAAAATAAACATCCGACTAGATTTTGACGAATTACGATGATCGTCTTATGTCCATTTCTACCGATATGTAGATTAATATTAATTTTAGTTTATTATTTTTTCTAAGAATTAGAAAAAGATAAAAAGTAAATTAAACTAAAATTAAAGTTAATCTACATTGATAAAATATTAAGACTTTTTTCACAGAGACAACTACAGATAGCATATGCAGTATATTCTTGGCAAACAGTGGCCAATATGTGACCGAAAGTGAACATAATGGAAGCTTATCTTGCAGCAAATGTGCCTATATACACGTTCTATGTATACAGTTATATTATCGTTGCAATATATTACGATATAAATGGATGATATATTGCGGCAGAGTGATGTTATCGCTAAGAGCGTGCTGGGCACGCACAAAATACAACATGATAATCCGGTTGTGATATCAAAAAACAAATACATAGACGGATATGTCGTATTGATCTTTGCAAATACGTTCTTGGAAGAAATTGTAAAGGAATCCCATTTTTGACAGAATGATTATGGCATGACTGAAATACTCACACATACAACACTGTTTTACTATTAAACTATTTTAATATTATACGAACAGATTGTAAAAAATATATAACATTGTAAAAATTATACATATATAATTTGTAGAAAATATAAATAGCATAAATAAGATGAGCATTTTCAATATCTCAGTCATTGTCGACGATGTTAGTATTCTTATACACACAATGTTATTTGTGTATACACATACAGTATAAAACGATGTAAAATATACTAATCACTAATTATACAATGAAAAAAGTATATGTATAAAATACTTTGCGTTGCGTTAAGTCAGATTTTAAAATTCCCAAGATTCCATCCATCTTAAAGAATGCATTGAGCTGTCGGGATCCATAGCAGACGGACCGTCCATCCCGTAAGCCAACGGCGAGAACAGATAAAAGCTGTAATTTAAATTTAAAATACAATTTGATCAACTCTCTCTCTCTCTCTCTCTCTCTCTCTCTCTCTCTCACACACACACACATAGAGTTCTTTAAAAAATTTTTATTAAAAGATTCTTTTAATTAGAGTTCTTTTAAATTTTTATTAAAAGATTCTTTTAATAAAAATTTAAAAGAACTCTAATTAAAAAAAAATATGTATTACGAATTATTTCATTTTGAGATCAGAATTTGAACAAAAGTCAACCTTTACCTATACACAGTACCGGAGATTACAGTTCCTAACGTGACATGATAAAACGTATTTCCCACTTTGCCGGGTAACAGCAACAGGAAGCACTCAATGACGTGATTCAATGTAATCCCGGTCAACATGGAGCTGTACAGTAACGCTGGGAAGTAATGGTGAAAGTACAGTACCCTGGTCATTGCCCAAAAAGGTGCATAATGCAAAATCCACCCGAGAAAGAGCCACTTGCCGGCATGCGTTATTTTGCTCCACTGTTTGAGCATGATAGCACCGTCGATACAACCCCGTTGCTCTTGCACGGAAGCATGGACGTAAAGAACTATAAATATTACGAGGAAGACTATGTTCCCCCACCAAATGATAGGATTGCCAAGTAAATATATCCTTTGATTGTTCCCGGAAAAGAATTGCCCCTATGGAGAAAGGTAGGAGTTTCTTTTAGAATTTGCCTCTTCAAAGCAATGATATTAGCAAATAATAGTACATGAGTACTAGTAAATAATAAATATATAAATTGATAGTATATACAAATTGATTTACTCTATAATTTATAGGCCACTGCCACGGTCGTGAGGACACCTCTCCTTCCTTCACTTTTAGATCCGAATTGCCTTGTAACATCACGGCATGCGACTCCAGAAATCTATCAAGGAATCCTGGCGCATACACACGGAAACTGACGTTTGGTACTAACGAAACAGTACAATGTTATACATTGCGTTAATTATTAATGATAAATCCAATAGTTTGTGTCGCTCACTTACATTTGGCATATTGATTGTCCTCGATGTTCCATAATCCATTTTTATCTCTCATATTAGGATTACAGGAAACTTCTTGCTGACTGTACCCCCTAGATAAATTAAAAATTCATTGAAAATTTTGTTTTACGAGAAATATTTAAATTTAATGTCATTTTTATTGCTATTAACCATTTCGGTAACGTTTTGCCGCTACACGTTAACACACAATGATGAAGATAATGCACAAATTTTAATTTACTTGTCACTGTCTCAACTATGTCGCCGTCCCTTCCATTTGTTATCAGTATTTTCCAAACGTCGTTAGCATCGCCCGTACCGTTCTGTGACATAAATAAAAAATATGATTAATAATAAACTCGAAAACAACGCACAATCATATTAAAATCATCTTACTTCTCCGTATCCAGTAACTTGATAATGCTTTTTTGATATTGGCGCGATCTCCTTGTGTGAATGTAAATTCCGTCTCGTCGTAATGTGTTCTAGACGTACGAGGTCGCCGTGTTTAACTAATTCTGGTTCTGGCGATATCACGTCCATATCGAATTTCTTCACCAGCCATAGATTATTATCGTCTTTGTGAGAATAGGTCGTGATCTGTAATCAGATATATACATACATAAGATACTAGGAACTTAGTTTCATTTAACGTCGCCTACTCAAATCATTATTCTATTATATATTACATGCATTTTCCAGTCTTTCCGGCTAAAATAAAATGTACATAATTTATTTCAATATTTAATTTTAAGACTTATAAATTTATATATTCTATATGAATGCATTTTATATTTTACTTTTTCTTTTATACAACTTTGTACTAAATGCAAGTATTCGTATGTATAACAACCTGTTGTTGTCTGGCGCCGATTCCTTCTGGATATAAATGCCAATGAGAATGCAAGTAACCACCACCTGTGCGATGATTTTTTAATGTAATAGTAGCACCGTATGCCAATTGTCGCGGCATTGTCGCATTATACAGTGAATTTCCGCGTAATAGCGACTGAAATTCGGAACTGTAAAAGCCATCGCCACTCCCACTAAACAAAACAATATTTATTTGTAAATTAAACAATTTGAACAAATTATATAACTTATATATAACCATAGCATTCTGAGAAATAAGGAAGAATTATATAACACCAAATTTATAAAAATATTAAACGTTAAAAATAACAGACTATACTTTGTTGTGATGCAATAATTCTTACCTTTTATTTAAAACGGAAAGATGAATATAAAAAAATAGCATGTAAAGTAAAACTGGTAATAGGATGAGGCAAAAGCATCTTGCTAACAAATGTTTTCCCACATAAGACTGCAAAAAACAAAATCGAAATCGTTCTTTGGAAACTTAATCGTTTATTCTCTCAGTCTCTTTCTAATTATTAAATTATAGTATTACAAACTTATTATTTAGCTCTCATTAATCATTAACATATCAATTAAAATACAAAACCCCCACTAATTATGACATTACCTTTACATACAATACTGGTATAATGATTAATTATTTATTTTGAGTATTAAAAGCACTGAGCAATAATGCTTTTTTAATATTCAAAATAAGTAATTGAGCACTATCTGTCAGTATTAAGTTGTATTTCTGTAAGAATAAAAGCCTTGATATTGAATTCTCGTGAAATGACTTACAATAGGCTTAGATAGGTCACCCAATTCTCGCCAGAGCTCGTACACAGTGTAAAGACCCACAAGCAGAACAACAAAGAGCCCAACAAATTTTACGCTGATTGTACATGCGAGTGAAGCTCCAGTGAATGATAACCACGACCACCATGATCGTGTAAACGGTCGATCTCGAAGAGATGCTACATGCGCCATGCCCCATGTTGCACACATCATAAAACATAACAATATAGGATCCAAAAGAATATACTGATTCAACGTCAACAATCCTACGTCTGCAAAGAAAAATTAATCAAGTTTTAAATGAGACACGCGATGGTCAAAATTATACTAATATCGAGATTAATATAGACATATTTTTTAAATAAATTTGTCTCAGAAGTAAGATAGCGTACTGTTACTATTGTACTTTCAACAGTTTTATTTCCAATCTTATTAATAAATTATTTTATTAATTGTTAAAATTCAAGATTATCTACATTATAAGAACGTTATGATTTACCGCACAAGATGAAAAAGGCAGCAAGTGCAGATGCACAAATTGACTTAGTAAGGTCCCATACAATGAGATATGATAGAGGGACAGTGGATGCACCCAGAATTGTACAGAACTAAGACAAAAATGTTTCTGATTAAATTTTTACTCTAATGTCTTCGATAATTTTTCTAAATTGTTTGATAAATCTTGTTTTATTTGAATTGAAAAAAAGCTTGTTCAACTTACAATTCTCATGCCAACATAATGGACATTTTCAAATTTATCTCCTGGTTTTTCAAAAGCAAATGTCCCATCATAGCCCGTTATGTATCCCGACAAAGCAATGAGCATCTAAAATAGAATAAAATATTTTTAATCTCATAACAATTGAATTTTTGGCCTAAAAAATATATGGATAGAATTTTCTTTAAAACATACCTTTCCTAAAGGTGGATGTACGTCAAAGAAAAACGTTCTGTTTATATACCAACTGCCCATTTTGCCGAAATGTGTTTCATCCCAACTGAAAGACAGAAGAACTTTCTTTAAAAAAAAAAAAAAACTGAAGATATTTTTTAGAAAAAATCCTTGATCTCTCTTACCATACATGCTGAGGTTCAGTAACTTTATAAAATCTAGTGATTAAGGTAAGTATAGTTATACCTCCAAATAAAAGCCACCAGTTCCTGTGATCATAAAAACAATTTGCAATTGTATTATAATATCTTACCTACTTTATGCTAATATCTATTGTAGTAAAGAATAATATTTTCATATATTTTTTGTAATAATTATTACATTCTGTAATTTATATTAGTAAAGAACATTTTATAGAAAAGGAAACAGAATATAAAACATAATTTTTAGAATAACTTATCGAGAACAAGATGAAAAAAAATACATGGTCTCTCTCTCTAAAATTTTAATCATTTTCATATACTAATAAGAAATAGCAATAAATAAGTAATAATAAGAAAAATATAATTAATCAAAAAACAAAAGAGTTGTGACATGTAGATGTATTAAAAAGAGTAAATACAATTGAAATAACTACATAATTCTAATTATCATTCTAATAAAATTATAATTATACATACGTCTTACTCTCTTCCTTTTCACTCGTTTTCGAGGTCGTCACATTTTTCAGTTTGCAAGCGGTGTCTTGAGTAGCGCTTCTCATATTTTGCCTCATTATTTACTTGACGAGTTGTGGAATATGTCGCTGCATTTGGAGTGAAATAGTCGCAAATAAACAATAGTAACAGCCAAATGTACGATCTACTGAATTATACTACAGCAATTATTAACTTAGCGTTTCAAGACAAATATTCTCGGATTCTCCATTCAACACTCCGTTACACGACACGTCAAATAACTGCTATCAGTACTGTTTTCTTCCGCGTATGAAGAACATGGCAAGATGTAACCAATAACCAAGAAGGCACAACTCATGTAGAAATTTATATTGTTTGATTATTCCGATTATTTATGAAAACAATTCTATAATTTTTTTACGATATATATAATATTAAAAACAATTACAAAAATTAAGTAAAAACATTATTTTGACGTAAATATACATTATGTATAAAGCATAATAATATAATAAATTATTCATAACATTTTATATTGAAATTTTAGTAATATCAGAGAGAAGGCTGAGAGCGGCCATCCCCGGGATTTAGCTGTTACTATATTTTAAAACGCCACTTATGTCCACAAAACGTGGACATTGAACTATGTAGCCAATGTCCAAGATCGTGTCGGTAATGTCAAAGATTTATGGTTTGAATCTTCCCTACGTCCATGATTTAAAAAAAAAAGCCTCTGAGGTAGAAAAATTGGAACTAAAAGGGTCAAGTAACCAGTAGTGGGGATATTCAAATCTATACGCGCATAACAATATGAATATAACCGGTTATAATAGTAAGTTCCTGAGCAATGTGTTAACTGATGTTATTAACATTATTTAAGTTTGCATTATTTAAGATAGAGAAATATACCATTTATCAATCTATAATAATGCATTCTTAAATAATGGTAACAACATTAGTTAACACAATGCTCAGAAACTCTCTTAACACAATTTGTCTAATATTATTAAAAACTCTTTTATTTTTATTAATATTTATATAATAAATATATTTTTTTTTATACATTATTCAAATATTACTATAAAAGTTACAAATAGTTTTCGATAATTTCATTTTATTTTTTTATTACTAAAAATATAATGCAACACATTTTCCCGTCCCACTTTACAGACTGCGGACTGTCGGATATATAAATATTGAATACCCGGTGTGGTTAAAAAATGTGATGCATATCATTTTCATGATCCACAGCATCATACACACAACAAATCGCACTTAACAATATATTACAATATTTGCAATATGTGCATTAATAGTATGTATATAAATATATACGGATAAAATTTAAACATAAAATTACTAACAAAGAAAAAACGAAAGAAGCAATTGAGGAATAAATACTAATAAAACAAGGAGGGAAGAATCAATTAAAAACACCAAAACAGTTGTAATACACCCTCTTGGATTTCTATTATTTG